TTTATAATCCTCTTAATTTCACTAAGTTCAGTAGAAATATCCCTTCTTTCACCTCTGATTCCAGTAGCTGCTCTTCCTTTTTTCTGTCAACCTAGCTAAAGGTTTGTCAATTTTGTTAATCTTTTCAAAGAACCAGCTTTTAGTTTCAGTGATTTTTCTCTATTGATTTTCTAGTCTGTATTTCATTTATTTCTGCTCTAATCTTTATTACTTCTTTCATTCTCCTTTCTTTAGGTTTACTTAGTTTTTCTTTTTCCAGTATCTGTGGATGGAAAGTTATGATCCTGAAATCTTCTTTTATAATATACAAGCATTTACAGCTAAAATTTTCATCCAAATACAGCTTTAGCTGCATCCTGTAAGTTTTGATAAGTTGTTTCATTTTCATTTACCTCAAAGTATAAATTTCCCTTTTGATTTCCTCTTTGACATACTTGCTATTTAGGAGTGTTTTGTTTAATTTCCACATATTTGTCAGTTTCCCAAATTTCTTCATTTTGATTTCTAATTTCATCCTATTGAGGTTGGATAACATCTGTATTATTTGTATTATTTCTATCCTATTAAATTTACAAAGTTTTTGTTTTTTTATTTTCTTTTTCCTTTTTGTCTTTTTTTTTTTCGTGTCCGGCAACGGATCGCAACCCTCAGTGTCGCGCCCGTACCAGACCGGGACCGGCAACGGGATCGCAACCCTCGGTGTTGCGGCCGCACCTCGCTCAGCCAGTGAGCGGGAACCGGTCTGTATGTGGGATCCGAACCCTCGGCGGGAGCGCCGCCATGCTCCCAAGCGGAGCACTGTAGCAGTGCGCCACTGGGCCGGACCTAAATTTACAAAGTTTTTAAATTTTGTTTTGTTTTTAATTTTTTTAGCTTAGCATAAGGTTTATCCTGGAGAATGCTCCATGTGCGCTTGAGAAGAATGTATATTCTGTTGAGTGGAATGTTCTATAGATGTCTTTTTTTTTTTTTGTCTTTTTCCGTGTCCGGCAATGGAATGCAACCCTCAGTGTCGCCCCCGTACCGGACCGGAACCGGCAACGGGATCGCAACCCTCGGTGTTGCTCCCGCGCCTCGCTCAGCCAGTGAGCGGGAACCGGTCTGTATGTGGGATCCGAACCCTCGGCGGGAGCGCCGCCACGCTTCCCAAGCGGCGCACTATAGCAGTGCGCCACCGGGCCGGCCCTATAGATGTCTTTTAAATCCTGTTTGTTTATTATGTTGTTCCAATCTTCTATTTACTTGTTTATCTTCTGCCTAGTTGTCCTATCCATTACTGAAAGCTGAGTATTTAAGTCTCCAACTATTATTGTTCAATTATCTGTTTCTCCCTTCATTTCTCACAGGTTTTCCTTTGTGTATTTTGGGGCTCAGTTGTTAAATGCATATATGTTTATAATTGTTATATTATAATTGACTAACCTTTTTTTTCCATTATAAAATGTCCTTCTTTAGTAGCAATATTTGTCTTAAAGTCCATTTTGTCTAATATTAATTTAGCTACTCCAGCTCTCTTATGGTTATTGTTTGCATGATACGTGTTTTTTTCACCCTTTGACTTTCAATCTGTTTGTATCTTTGAATCTAAGGTATGTCTCTTAAAGACAGCATATAGTTTGATCTTGCTTTTATATTTTTAATCCAGACTTACAATCTCTGCCTATTGACTGAATTATTTAATACATTCACTCTTTTTTAATCCACTCACATAAAATGTTATTATTGACATACTGGATTTACATCTGCCATTTTACCTTTTTCCTATATGTCTCACGCCTTTTTGCTCTATTCCTCCTTTAGTGTTTCCATTAGGTGAATATTTTATCGGACAGTATTTTAATTTCTTTAATGATTTTTCACTACTTTTTATTTATTTTAATTAATTTTTTGACTTTTTGGCAGCTTTCTGGTATGGGGAAATCAGAACCCTTGACTTTAGTGTTAAGAAAGCCATGCTCTCCCAAGTAAGCTAACCAGCCAGCACTTCATTACTTTTTGAGTTGTTTTGTGGTTGCTCTGGGGCTTTTCATACACATCTTAATTCAGAAACAGCTTCAAATTTATATTAACCTAATTCCAGTGAGCTATAGGAACATTACTCCTAATATAGTTCTATTCCCTTTCTTCCCTTTTGGTGGTATTGTTGTTATAGGTATTACATCAATAAACATTACAAATCCAAAACTACACTGTTATAATTATTATTTTGTATAATTTTATGTCTTTTAAAGACACTAAGAGAAGACAGTAATGATACATTTACAGCTTTATTAATACTAATCTTATCACTTCTTGCTCTTTTCATTTGTTCTTGTGGATTTGAATTAACTTCTGGAATAATTTCCTTAGCTCAATACAGCTTTGCTACCACCCATCTCCTTTGTGCTGTTACTGGAAAATACATTACATTTCTACATGTTATAGGCCCTAAAAGACATTATATACATATTGCTTTATATGGTTTTTATTTAAATCAGTTAAGAGAGGAGAAGAAAAATGCTGTTTTACTGTCTTTTGTAATTACTTAATTACCTTTTCCATTGCTCTATATTTTTTCAACTGGATTCAAATTACAGTCTGGAGTCACCTGCTTTCAGCCTAAAGAATTTCCTTTAGTATTTCTTGTATGGTGAGTCTGCTAGCAACAAATTCTCTCATCTATTGTTTTTCTGAAAATGTCTTTATTTTGCCTTCATTTTTTTGAAAGATAGCTTTGCTGTATATAAGATTCTCAGTTGACAGTTTTTTTTTCTTTGAGCACTTTGTACACATTATTCCACTGCTTTATTGACACTGTTTCACTGAGAAGTCAGCTGTTAATCCTACTGGGGTTCCCTTTAAGTGATGAATTATTTTTCTCTTGCAGCTTTCAAGATTTTCTCCTTGTCTCTGGCTTTCAGCATTTGTACTATGATTCATCTCTTTGGGTAGTATTCTATTTGGAGAATACTTGTGTGTGTTAATTTGTCTCTTGTGTGTATTCTATTTGGAGTTCATTGAGCTTCCTAAAGGAGGGAATTAATGTTCTTCAGTAAATCTGGGAACTTTTCAGCTGTTATTTCTTCAAATAGATTTTTCTTTTTTTTTTTTTTTTCCCTTTTTGTCTTTTTTCGTGACCGGCAACGGATCACAACCCTCAGTGTCGTGCCCGTACCGGCCCGGGACCGGCAACGGGATCGCAACCCTCGGTGTTGCGCCCGCACCTTGCTCAGCCAGTGAGCGGCTGGTCTGTATGTGGGATCCAAACCCTCGGCGGGAGCGCCGCCGCACTCCCAAGCGGCGCACTGTAGCAGTGCGCCACCGGGCCGGCCCCTTCAAATAGATTTTTCTGCTCCTCTCTATCTCCGCTATCCTTCTGGTACTCCCATCACACATATGTTGGTCTGTTTAATAGTGTCCACATTTTTCTGAGGTTCTGTCCATTTTTCTTCATTCTTTTCTCTTTCTGTCCTTTGAGTTATACAATCTCTATCAATCTTCAAGCTTGCTAACTCTTTCTTCTTCCAGTTCAAATTGAGCCCCTCTACTGAATTTTTCATTTTAGTTATCGTGCTTCTGATTTCCATAACTTCGATTTGGTTTTGTTTTTTTAATAATTTCTATTTCTTTATTGATATAGGGTACTTGATGTGGCATTATCATCATACCTTCCTTTACTTCTTTAATCATGGTTTCCTTTAGTTTCTGAACACAATCATAATGGCTACTTTGACATCTTTGTTAAATCTAAAATCTGACCTCTCTCAGAGATAGTTTCTGTTGTCTGCTTTTTTCCCCACAGTGTATGGGTCATACTTTCCTGTTTCTTTGCAGGTTTCACAATTTTTTGCTGGAAACTGAACATTTTAGATAACACTGCAATAACTCTTGAGTACTGGTATATTCCTCCCTCTTCCCTCTCCCCACCCCAGGAATATTATTGTTATTTGTTTACTTGTTTAGTGACTGGCAGGATTATTTTAGTGAAATCTGTTTCCCCTTCCTACCACATTTGCATTAAACCAAATGTATTGTGTTCAGTCTACATTTAAAGAATACTAAGAACTTAACTAGCCTTTAAAAAAAGAAAAAAAAAAGAATACTAACAAACTAAAGCACATGTAAAGGAAGGTTCTAGGATGAAAAGGGCTTCAAAATGCCATAGACAAAAAAGGCTAAGGGAACTGAGGATATTGTATATGAAGTAGATTATATTAAAAGGACGGAAAGAATGAAGAGTTGGTGACTTGACTCCTATTCTGGTTCAGCTGTAAAATGGGAGGGAGAGGTCTCGGAACTTAGATCTCAGAACTTAGACAAAGTGGTAGGCAGTACAGGAAAGCAGACTTTAGCTCAATATATAAGAAAGAATTTTTAAACGAGTAGTCCAACAATGCTATATGCTACCTTATAAACTAATGAGGTTTCCATTTATAAGCAGAGGAACTTAGACAAAGTGGTAGGCAGTACAGGAAAGCAGACTTTAGCTCAATATATAAGAAAGAATTTTTAAATGAGTAGTCCAACAATGCTATATGCTACCTTATAAACTAATGAGGTTTCCATTTATAAGCAGAAGTTTTCATCCTGTCACAACTGTTGATGATGCTATCCCTTCTTTGGAAGGGGAATTTTTAGACTAAGGTCTTTAAATACTCTGTGATAGTCGAGAAACCTGGCTTGAATGCAGCCATTTTGACATAATGCAAAGTACTTTACATGCCTATAAATATATTACAGAGAAACTATTTTTCATTTCTAGAAAAATGTTTACAAAGAAATCTCCTTAAATGTTTCCTAGCAAAGAGATCACGTGAGACTGCTGTTTGAAAGTATTTTTCTAATTAGTCACATATCTGGTAGCTTTCTTTATAAACCACTGGGAGAAAGAATTGCTTTGAACTTCTATACTCTCTTTTGTACTTGGTTTAAAATATTAGAATAAAGTAATTCATTTTCAAGAGTCCTTCAGTACTTACAAAAGATTTCTTTAAATGAAATAATTGAGATCCAGAACTCACCAGAAGAAATCTTACCAGCACCTTTATAGTCAACAGAAAATGCAGATGTGACTCCATTGGCTGACCCCAGTTCACACATGGAAATTTGATAAGGGGGCCTCAGCTTGATTTCCGTCTGCATGTCAGACAGATTTATCTTTGTTGAAAGAGACCTGGGATTATTATATCGCTGCTTGGTCCTCTGAATGAAGTTATCTATGTAAAATAAAAAATAAATTTCCTTGCAATCATTTGTTAATTAAATCATTTGAGAGTGTGATGTTTATGAACTATAAATTTTACAGATAAACAGTTTGTTACTCAAAACTGTTCATTTTGTTATGGAATATTATTTGTGTTTAATGGTTAATATATCATGGAGTCATCAGTTTTATACTCTAGAAATTTACACTCTAGAAATTATACTCAGTAACTGTAAATAAACTAAGGGTTTAACACTACCTTAGTGTGAGTATTCTATCCACTTCAAGGAATTGCAAGAAACAAAAAACAACTGTAACCTTAAACCAAAGTCTTAATTTTTATAGGCATTATTTGCTCATGAAATATTAAATCTGTCAGACTTACCAGTTGTAATTACGTAAGAACATACACTGTAAGTTACATGTTTTCATAAATCAGTTTTCTTATTTATTGCTTACACTATTAGAATGAACATTCTAAAGAACAAATTTAATGAAACCAATAAAAGCCATTTTCTAAATACCTTCCAAGTGGAATTTTATTTTTACTATTGGCAACTTGGTTTTACTTTTTTTTCCTTCTTCATCAGGGGTTGAGCAAACTACTGCCCACATGCCAAATCTAGCCTGCTGTTTTGTTTACGTTTTTTCGTTTTTATAAGCACCTGGCCAATAACAGGGATCAAACCCTAGACCTTGGTGTTATCAGCACTACGCTCTAAGCAACTGAGCTAACTGGCCAGCCCCATGGCCTGCTGTTTTTGTAAATAAGGTTTTATTAGAACATAACTACACTCATTAATTTATGTATTAGTCATGGCTGCTTTCAAGCTACAATGGCAGAGCTGAGTATTTGTAACAGAGACTTATGGTTCTTAAAGCCTAAAATATGTACTATCTGTTCCTTTCATCAAATGTTTGCCAATCCCTGCTCTACATTAAGCAGACTATAAAAGATTATCACATAAACGCAAAACTCTGAATCTCTGGCTTATAAATTTCTCATTGAGAAATTGTCCTCTAAATTCTTTGGCCATTTATCACAATCCCCTTCACAGCTCAAACACAATGTTTTCTAATAAGCATCTAAATTAAGTAAGAAGTTGCCATGATTTATAGATCATTTGCCAAATTATTCTAACAAAAGCAAGGTAGCAGAAGTTTCCCTTCCACCCCCCAGTATTAGATAAAAAATTGCTTATGACAAGATGAAGACAAGAAAAGGAAAAAAAAAAATCAGGCCCTTACCAAATTCAATGAAACAGTATGGTCTGACAGCAGTATTTGTCTTCATCACATTATAAGTAGTAATGAACTCCTTCTGAAGCTCATCCAGGAAAGAGAAGGCGAGAACATTTGGGTAACTTTCAGTGCACAACATCATGTAGCTCACTCCCAAAGAGCTAATAAAACTACAGTGTAAAAAACATTGGTTTTAAAATCTCAAATTGAATCAAGGTAATTTGTTGCTTCACAAGACTGGTTCTATACACCATAAATTGCTGCTACAGTGGCAATGAAGATATTAACATTTATTATATATTCCAGCAAAAAATTTAAAGGAACCAAAATATAATACTATTTTAAGTTGTGGTTTAAAAACAGTAGACAAAAATATGGAATATAATACAGAGGACATAGACTATGGTTCTAGTACTTCAGTTACTTATCACTTGGAGTAGAAAGCAGGGAAAAGAATATACAAATATATAAGCATTACACATAGCTTAAAGTCTAACCCTTCATGCACTTTTGAGTCAAAAACCCTTTGGAGATTTTTTTTTTTGGCAGCTGGCCAGTACCGGGATCAAACCCTGACCTTGGTGTTATGAGCATCACACTCTAACCAAATGAGCTAACTGGCCAGAGATTCTGACAAAAGTTACTGACACTCCCCACAAAGATGACCAAATAACACAGAACTCTGCACACAATTTCAGGTCACTGACCTCTTGAAATCATCATTGACCCCAGAATCAAATCCTCTACTTCACATGGTAATGAACTATGAGCCATTAGGGGGAAAAAAGAGGAATTTGTAAGTTTATGACTACAAAAAAATAAAATAATAGAGGGAGCAAGGAAGATTCTTGTGTACAGCAGAATGCTGAGTGCTGACTGGTAAATGTGAAGGTAGGCAAGCATTGGAAAAGTCAGCATTTTGCAACCAACATAATAAAGATCAGATCAGACAAGGACAATCATGGATGCTAAATCTAGGGGAAAATTTTGAAGAGAAGTGTATTTGCATGCTTTTAAAATTCTTCCCATGGATTGCTTATTAGTTGTAAGAGGGAAATATTATACAGTAGAAACTGGACAATACCTTGACAACATACTGTAACATCATTAATGAGGGGCAGATGGATATCATGTGCCTCCCGATGTGATACTCTGAGAAACATCACATCACCTATTGCCCTGGATTGAATTGTGTCCCCCAAAGTCCATGTATTGAAGCTAATCCCCACTGTAATGTTGAGGGTGGGAAATTTTATTATAGTAATTGAAAGGTGGGGCTTTGAAGAGGTGATTAGGTTGTGAGGACCATGCCCTAGTAAATGAATTAATTACAGTGGTCATGGGTGTGGTTCCGAGGGCTTAAAAAGGAGGAGTGAGAAGTTAGTTTCTCTCTGCTCCACCATTCTTACCGTGTGACACCTGCATTGTTTTAGAGTCACCTCACCTCCCTGGACTTTGGATTTCCCAGCCTCTGAAACAATAAGCAATAAATATTCTATTTCTTTACAAATTACCCAGTTCCAGGCATTTTGTTATAAGCAACAGAAACATACTAATACAGAAAATTGTGACCAGGGAAGTGGGGTGTTGCTTATAGCAAATACTTGAAAATGTGGAAGCGGCTTTAGAAGTGGGTGTTGAGGAGAGGCTGGAAGAAGTTAGAGGGGCAGGCTAGTAAAAACGTAGCTGCTGGTGGGAGTTTAAAACACAAGAAAATCAAAGAATGTTTGGAAAATCTTAGAGACTGGTTAAATGGTGGTGAGCACAATGCTTATAGAAATATGGACCACAAAGGCCATTCTAAGGAGATCTCAGATAGAAATGAGAAGGAGCATATGGGAAACTAGGGCAAAGATCACCCTTGCTATGAAATTGCGAGGAACTTGGCTGCATTCTGTTCATGCCCAAAGGTTTTATAGAATGTGGAACTTCAAGGTCCTGACCCAGAGTATTCGGCAGAAAAAATTTCTAAGCAGCAAAGCATTCAGGAAGCCACATGGCTACCTGCAACAGCCAATGCTGAGTCATGGCAGAAAATGCATAACATAAAGCCAGAATTTATAGTTCAAAAGAAAACAGATGGCAAAAAATTGGAAAACTTTCAGACTGGCCATGAAGGCAAGAGTGTAGACCAGCAACCATTTGCTAAGGACATTAGTAAAGAAGAAAGATATCAACAAGAAAAGGGAAAAAAGACCTTGAAGGCATTTCAGAGATCTTCAAGGCTGCCTCTTCCATTACAGGCCCAGAAGCCAAGGGAGACAGAATGGTCTCAGGAAATAGGCCTGAGGCACCCTCCACGGGCTCACTGCCCAGGGCCACCTCGGGAAGCTGCTTCCAGTACCAGCATCCTAGCTGCTCCAGCTGTAGCTAAATTGGCCCTAGGTGTGGCTGGACCAAGATATAAGCTGGAAGCCTTGGTGGTATTTCAAAGGAAGCATGAAAAAGCCTGGGGACCCAAGAAGAGATCTGTCGTGGGGCGAAGTCACTGCAGACAGCCTTCACTAGAGCCATGCCAGGCAGGAACATGGGGTCAGAGTTGCAGCAGAAAAATACCACCAGCACCATGTCTAGTGGAGCTGTGAGAGTGGGACTGCCATGGAGACCTCAGACTTGTGGAGCTACCAGTGTGCAACACCAGCCTGCAAGGGTTAAAGCATGAACGGAGACCAGGAAAGCCATAGGAACAGAGCTAACCGAGGACTTGGGACCCAACCCCTGCACCAGTATGCAGAGAATGCCCAACATGGAGTCAAGGTACATGATTCACAAGCTTTGAAAATTAATGTCTGCCCAGCTGGGTTTTGGACTTGCTTAGGATCTGTTACCTCTTTCTTCTGGCCTATTTCTCCCTTTTTGAATTGGGATATGTACCCTATGTTTGTCCTACCATTGTATCTTGGAAGTAGATAACTTGTTTTGATTTCACAGATAGGACCCTGACACTTTGGACTTTTGAGTTAAAACAAGTTAAGATTTTGGGGATGGAATGAATGCATTTACCTGTGAGAAGAACATGAACTTTGGGGGCAAGGGGCAGAATGCCATAGATTGAGTGTCCTCCAAAGTCAATGTATTGAAGCTTAATCCCCACTGTAACTGCTGAGAGTGGGAAATCTTACTACAGTAATTGAAAGGTGGGTCTTAAAGTGATTAGATTGTGAGGACCATGCCCTAGTAAGTGGATTGATAACGGTGGCAATGGGTGTGGTTCTGAGGCTTTAAAAGGAGAAGGAGTGAGGAGTTAGTTTCTCTCAGCTCCACCATCTGCAATGTGATACCTAGCTTTACCACCAAAGAAGACACTCACCAGATGTGTTCCTGGGACTTTGGACTTCCCAGCCTCCAAAACTGTAAGCAATAAAATTCATTTTCTTTCAAATTACCTAGTGCCAGGTATTTCTGTTATAAGCACCAGAAACGAACTAACACAGAAAATGCAATAATACTCTAGCTGAGAATGCACAACCTGAATCTGATGTTAATCACCAGAATGATCAGTATTCTATTTTTTTAAAAAGGAGAGGTGTATTTTCAAAAGAAGATTTTGTAAAAAGAAAGAAATACAGGTTGTGGAAATGTTTCCAATCAAAGGAGGCTAAAGAGATATGACAACTAAATGCAATACCTAACCCTAGTCTTGATCCTATGCCAGAGGGGGGTAAAATGCTTTAAAGGACAGTCCTTGGTCAATTGACAAAAATGGAAAACAGGCAATAGATTAAAGTGTGGTACTAATGTTATATTTAGTAAAGCTGATAACTATACTGTAGTTAAGTAAGAGAATATTCCTATTCTTAGAAAATACACTCTGACATAATTAGGAAGAAAGAGACATGGTATTTGTAAATTTCTCTCAAATGGTTCAGAAAAACATAACTCAGATAAATAGGTAAGAAGGTAGATAAAATGATAAAAGAAATAGGTAAAATGTTAACAAAAGGTGAGTCTGGGAATAGGTATTACTTGTACTTTTCTTATTCATACAACTTTTCTATAAGTTTGAAATTATTTCTAAATAACATTGAATTAAAAACAAAAAAAACTTCTACTTTAAGTACTGAAACATTTAAATTAATCATCTTCTATGGAAAAAAAACTTTCTAGAATATAGTACATACCCCCTATAATAAAAAAGCAAAGCATGGGACACAAATTAACCCTTTTAAACGAATCACCTAAACATCCTTTTATAGTATGTCAACACAGTAGCCTAGATCAGGGCAGTAAATAGAACATACAGGCTGTAACTCCCCACTCTTATGCCAGACACTGCTAATCACAGCAATCTTTACTATCAACCCCTGACCCATACTGGAGTCCCCCCTACACACACTTTTTTTCCTTCTAATAATGCAGGGCAGAATTTGTTATTTTAAATTCAGTTTTTTTGTTTGTTTGTTTGTTTGTTTGTTTCCTTTTTGTCTTTTTTTGTGACCGGCAACGGATCGCAACCCTCAGTGTTGCGCCTGTACTGGACCGGGACCGGCAATGGGATCGCAACCCTCGGTGTTGCACCAGCACCTCGCTCAGCTAGTGAGCGGCCAGTCTGTATGTGGGATCCGAACCCTCGGCGGGAGCGCCGCCGCACTCTCAAGCGGCGCACTGTAGCAGTGCGCCACCGGGCCGGCCCTAAATTCAGTTTTTAAGATAAATATGTTCATGATTCAAATTTTAAAAGGATGAAATATGAAAAAGTATACTGTACTTAAAATGCCTTATCCCCATCCCAGCCCACAGATATCCAGTTCCCCTTTCGTCAGGCCATCCATGTTTTATTAGTTTCCTTTGTACCCTTCCAATGAGTTTATGCAGATGCAAGTGAATATGTGTGTGTATGCACACATACACACATACACCGGGTACATCAAAAAGTTCGTGGAAAAATCCATATATTTTTCCCTGAACTTTCTGAAGTACCCCGGTGTATGTGTGCACACACATATAATACTTATGTGAATCCTTTTGAAAAGACCATCTGAAGCAGCCAAATGATGTGGGGTTGACACCTATTATCATCTATTATTAACGGGATGGGATATACCAGTACTCAAACTGTGTTTATCTTATGCTACTGGAATTCCTTTCTGAAGTTCGATGTAATACACAGTCATTTGGTACAATGTTTTTTCAAAGTGTAAGTTGTAATCCATCAACAGGTCATAAAATT